TGGATGAGAAGCATAATCAGAAGGGAACTCACTGAAACACTTAAAGGAACAGCATCCATCCATCCATTGATCCATCCATCCATCCATCTACTTGTGGGAGTGTTACACAAAAATGTTCTGAGGGCAGAACGAAAAATGTGTTCACATCTGATTGATTAGTCTCCACCTCCTTTAGTTGCTTGGACGCACCTCCTCTACAATCTGATTGGTTATCTCTCTGAACCAATCAGTTTTTGTTCTGCCCTCTGAACATTTTTGTATAAGTAAAATTCCTATGATCCATCCATCCATTCATCCATCTAACCACTCAAAATGAGGCACATGCAGCTAAATGAAACTGGTCCCGTATTTACTGCAGGTTGCAATAGTACAGCATCCAAAATCTTTAACAATTTCTATGCCTTTTTATAGCCTTGTTACTGAAGCAGCTCCAGTCAGATATCTTGCTCAAGTGTACAACAGCAAAGTGTCTTGATCCCTAACTGTGACACCTCCTGCTGCCCCATGGAAGCTTCTGTCCTTTGGAGCAGCAGCGCAGGAAGACTGCGTGCTGCTGTGGCGCCGTGGCGTGCTGCTGTGGCGCCGTGGCGTGCTGCCACAGGTTTTATCCACAGGTGCACCTGGGGGGGTGAGGGGAACCTTAAGTGTTCATGCACGTATCTGATGCACACATAACCTATATTTTGTCTGCCTATAAGGTATTAATGCACCAGCATGGAACACAGCACAACACTGGTCCTGCCAATTAACTGCAATTTCAATTTCAAATCAGGCGACTGTGGGGGCACTGCCCCCCCATGGTTTTATTTATCCATCTGGATATCTCACTGTGAAGATCCACCTGTACAGAGACGGCATGCTGTTCACTGTTTGGAGCACATTTTAAAAAAATAAAACAAAAACATAAAGTGAGCTGGTATTTTCATTTTCTTTTTATTCTGATATTTATGACATCCTGTCATCCCCACTATTACTGTCATCAGCACAATGGCACCCGAACAATCACAGCTCTCCTTAAGTAGACCAGCTGGGACTCCCTGCTAATCAGCCTCACCCTCTCTTACCACAACAGCAACAATGCGAGCTCAAGCTCACACTCCAGAAAGGGGGAATTAAAAGTATTTATTTATGTATGGATTTATTTATTTATTAAGTGTTTATTCATAATGTTTATTTGCGAGTCGCAAATCCTACAGGGGAGGCAGAAAGAGGTCGGGGGAAAGTTTTATTCACGTTTTAATTTGATTACCTGAGAATGCTATTCTTCGGCCCATTTCACATGTTTTGTCATTAATTAAGCAGTGTGTGTCCACTGCTTTACTCAGAGTGTAAGACAATCTGTCTAAGAAACCCTCAGGCCTGCAGGTGAACTGACTGGCCCTGGATCTCCAAATCCCCCAAGCATCCCACGTCCCTAAGGCACAGGGCAGGGCCAAACAGGACTGCTTAGGGTGGGGGAGGGGGGGTCATATTTCCGGGCATTTGGAGGGTACCTTCAGCGTCGGGCCGGGGGGGAGGCGTACAACAATGAGGTGCCTTTATTTCCTCTGAAAGGCCACAGTAGTTGGGAGGAAGACAGAGACTTAAAAATAACGATGCAAAATAAAAAGCGACCTTCATGAAAGTCAATAACGTACATATATGTTTATTCCCATCGAGACGCACCCAACCGCAGACTCCCCCTCCCCCCCCACCCCCAAGTGTGTGCCCCAGAAAAACCACTCATCCGAAACACAGACTCACTTCATCAAATTTCAGCAAGCACTCTGCTTCACAGATGAGCAGAAACCCATCTAATTGAATTCTTGACTGGGAAGCATTTAAATAGCTTCTGGTCCCCATGAAGCTAATACTGTACGTCTGATTCCCCTCTCGACAGCCTCAGGAACAAGACAAATTAAATATTCTGAAGAAGCCACATTCCAGTTGCCGAAGTTTACCGCAGAAAACTCAAGCAGCATTACGATTACGTTACTGCTCGTGTGTTTTTGTGGAGAAACATACACGTCATAGAGAAATGCAACCTGGCCAAACCTCGCGAGGAGCTGAGAAACCAACAGCAGCCCCATAGCGAAGTGAAAACAACAAATGATTTGTCTGTTTATCCAAACTGACCCCTCAATGACAGTTTCCCTGTTTATTTAATTAATCTGTTTATACAGTTCGTTTCAGCTTATCACCGTTGTCTCCCATCCGGTCTCTGATGGATCCAGATTCAAGATTTGTTATTATTTTTGTTTGACTTTTTTTTTTTTTAATTGCAGATAGTAAAAGGGATGTGGGAATAAGGGATGTGGGAATGAGGGATGTGGGAATAAGGGATGTGGGAATAAGGGTAACGGTGGAAGGTCGTGATGAAGGCACAGAGTCTGTCGGTGATGCTGGGGGATTGGTCACATGACCACGCCAGGCTCTTTGTTGACATTCTGAAACCACTGGAACATGACTGCCAGAATATTCCAAACACAAGTCGCCCGTAGCGACGGGGAGCTGCCGAGGCCTGTATCGTCCATGAGACCCGCATGGAGCAGTGAACAATGCACTGATCAAGGCACTGAGTGGATGTTTTTGGCAAGTGAAGCCCCCAGTTAAAGATCTTTGCTGACGACATGTATTCACTGGCCTATTGTGTGCGTATCGCTTTCGGATCTTGGTGCACATGGCCTCGAAACCTATTCGCCTGCCACCTGAAAAAAGATCACTCTGTTAGTCCTTCAAGAAGAATGATAGCCATGCTTTAAATATATACACCAAATGGGTGTTCATGTGCCACCTCATTATCATTCATATAATTGAAAATGGGGGGAATTGGCAAAACAGTGCAAAACTGAGCGTGTTTGCTGATGTCATACAACCTGTAGTGCAGGGGTCTCCAACTCCAGTCCTGGAGAGATACCTGGCTTCTGATGAGCCACACCTGTTCTCAGGTAAATACCAGGAACAAGTGTGGCTCATCAGAAGCCAAGTGGGACAGAAAACCTACTGGATAGTAGCTCTCCAGGACCGGAGTTGGAGACCCCTGCTGTAGTGACTCCAGAAAATCGAAAAGATGGGTGCCAGACATTTCAGAAAAGTCTGAGATACAGAATTATGGCTGAAGGATGTGGTAGAGGGTTAGGTGACCCCAGGGCATCGCGGTTTGATCGCCTCACAGCAGGAGGAGGCCTGTGCTCACATTGCCGGCTGCAGGCTTATCTTCACCAGCCGGGTGCTGGGAAACGCCTGGCTGTCATTTGCACTGAGATTACATACAGCACAGCAGTAAACTCAGCCACGGCCTACTCTCTACTACGGTAAACACAGTGAGTGAGTATGTGTGTGTATTACACTAAAACTTGACAAGACTGACAGACCACTTTTCGCAAGTTCTCCCATTTTACAATAAAAGTTACACCAATACAGGCAAACTTCGATTTGTTCTAAATTGAAACTGGTGTGATTTACCCCAAGACTGTTACATATAACAGTATAATTTCAACCAAATACACTTTCAGCTCACTGTAGCCCATCGCTTGTAGACAGTGCCACGCGTGAGTTTATGATTCCTCTCACCTAGTCCCTTTATAAGGCCCGGTTCAGATAGGGGCCCGGTTCAGTCCAGAAGTTCTTCAAGGATTCACTGGTTATATGCTCAGTTTGCCTGGTTGTTTTCTGCCCACTGTAGAAAAGCAAGAACATCAGCTGAATTCTGTAGGTTTTCCTGATTGATGTACTACAATTTAAAGATATGAGACTCCCCCTTGAGTATTATTGTATTTGCGCCATCCGATGGACATGCATCTCGGCCTGTGTGTACCTCAGCTTTATGCACTTTACCCATCGAGCCCTTGAGGACGGCCCTTAATCCCGAGTGGTCAAAATGTTCCGGAAAATTGATGGATCAAAACTAATAAGAATATAAATAATTATACCTGAAGGTGGCGCCAGAGGACCACTAGCATACTTGCCGGCTGGAATGTCTGACAAAGTGGATGCAAAGGGGGGATCGGCCCAAAGCAAATTATGTGAGAAAGAAAAGAGGGTAAAACCAGCATTACTGCTGTTTACAGCGCAAGATTTATATGAGACGCGCGCGGTGGATCCTCTAGGCCTTATCAACATTGGCCCCTTTTAACTAAATGTTTAAGTAATTTGGATTACCACGATGTACGACATTAGCTAGATAGATAGACAGACGGAAATTTAGGCATCCAGTAGCTCGAAAAATACAAGGGTACAAATTAATTAAGAAAATATTTTCGAAACAGTATGTTATATGAAATAGAAACTTCTATGTGGAACGACAGAATATATTTTCCTAAAGAAAATCAGTTTAATAGTTTCCTGCAGCACCGAAATATTAACACTTTGTTTATTTTGACATCTAACATAATTTTTCATGTAAAAGGCTAATTCTGTTGCTCTAAACACAGGGATCAACAACATAATGTTAACTTAATATTGTAAAAAATAATTCGTCGAGTTATGCTGATAGTACTCTGATTTTAACGCGCTTCCGTTTGTTCCGGAGATAATATTTGTAGGCCTTAGATAGAACCCAAAAATAAATTAACATTTTCTTAATATATGAAAATGTTTTAAAAGCCGCGTCTTATTAAGACTTTCTATATATATATAAAAGCACGACAGGAAATTATCCGACACTTTAAAACAATAATGCCCCGGACCTACAAGGTGTGTTCAACACGTCAGCTCCGATGTAGCGCGTGTTTTTTCCTTTGAATTGCGCTTTATTTTAATCCATAGTGGCGTCTCCTATTTAAAACATGTCAGCACACCCATAGTCAAAAGTGAAATATACTAGCCCTATCAATTGTAACATCACCAGAGGTAATATTTACAATAAACACTTAAAAGCCCAGGATAACGTGGGCTTTAATGTACTGTAAATATATTTCAGAATTGCGTCTCCTTCTTTTACGAGTACGTCTACAAATCCATTTCAAGCAATGTACACAGATCAAAGAAGCTTCACAAATGAAGCCATATGCCACAAACACTTGAAAAGTAAAAATCTAATTACTTTATTCGGTGAAACTGTACATATACAAATGAGGTCTTTTATCATATTTTAAAAATCAAGTAAAAAACACCAAGATTATTTTTATAAATACATATATTCTTTAAAAAAAGGTGACGACTATTTACAAAATGTGTATGTAGCAATTTGCATAATTTAACAGATGTACACATGCATATAATTGATATCCAATTCGAACGCAAATCCGCCCTTCTGGAAGAATATGTGATTGTCTGAAGATGGGTATGGAGAACATACCAAAGAATGATTAAACAGAATTAAGTGTTTTATGAGTGGCAAGGCGGACACTTCTTGCGAACGAAAGTCATATTCGTTTCAAATAAATCTCTAATAGCACAAAAAAACAAAAATGAACATTCCACCCTCCCCTTGAATTATGATCTAGGAGGCAATCCTACACTTTGAGAAACGGGAAAAAAATGTTAATCTCTGCCTTTTCTGGTGTTATAACGCATAACACTACAGCGGGGTGATTTAAATGATGTGTCATTTTGTCGGAAGCTGGGCAGATGAACGGGATAATGCGACCCTTGAGCAAATACACCCACAAAGGGAAACGGGGGGCGGGGAGGGGGTTCTGCAAAGTTTTAAAGCATATTGAACATCTTAAACATTCCGGAGCAGCAACAAGTGTTCTCATAATCTGGTGGCACGTTTAGACAATGATCTAAAATATGGCACATTAGAAAAACTAATTTTAAAAAACAGAAGCGTTAAAAGAATCTCCACAAGCAAAAAGGGGAAAAAAACGATCTGGTAATCTTCGGCCGAAGGGCTGTTCACACAGAAATGAGACATAAGAAAATACAAACGTGAACATTAGCTAAGCTGAAACCCAGCATACAGAGGGCATGAAAACAAACTTCTGGAGTATAATTAACCTGCTGAACGATTTCATGTCGAGCAAAGGGGGGTTTGGGGGGGGGGGGGCACTGAGCTCAATACGGATTCGAGTCTTTTTAGCTCAGATACAGTCTGCTAAGCGATGGCTTTCTTCAAACCCCGTTTAGATCCGTTGTTCCTCAACCGTGTCTCCAAAAGTTCATACCGTCGTTTCGCCTTGGTTGCTGTTACTAAGCCTTTTGTAAAACCTGCGCCATGACTGTAACGTCTTCCCCGACCATATCCAGAATCCCGAGGTGATGCCAACAATCATGGTCATTAAATACTTGATCATGAAAACCGTAAAGTCCGGGGTCATCGGAGCAAAGTTGTAGGCTGGGCACGGCACGGCAAAGCGCTTGCAAGTCTGCATGTGCCAGGTCTTCTCCCACTGCTCACGGAAAGCCTGCTCGTAGAAATAACAGGCGATCACGATGGTGGCCGGAACCGTGTACAGGACACTGAACACTCCGATCCGGACCATCAGCTTCTCCAGCTTCTCGGTTTTGGTGCCGTCGTGCTTCATGATCGTCCGGATCCGAAACAGGGAGACGAAGCCGGCGAGGAGAAAAGACGTGCCTATAAAGAGGTAGACAAAGAGGGGAGCAAGGACGAAACCCCGCAGCGAATCGACGCTGAATATGCCCACATAGCACACCCCTGTGAGAAGGTCGCCATCCACTTGCCCCATGGCGAGGATAGTTATTGTTTTAGCGGCCGGGACCGCCCAGGCCGCCAGATGAAAGTACTGTGAGTTTGCCTCGATGGCTTCGTGACCCCACTTCATCCCTGCTGAGAGGAACCAGGTGAGAGACAATATGACCCACCAAATAGAGCTAGCCATCCCAAAAAAGTACAGGATCATGAACAGGATAGTGCAGCCCTCTTTTTTGGTGCCCTGCGCCACAGTCTTGTAGCCGTCCTCCTTAAACTTATCGATGCAGACCACTTTATCCTCTAGGAAGAAGCCGGCGGCGTAGGCCACTGCCACCATGAAGTAGCAGCCAGACAGGAAGATGATGGGGCGCTCTGGGTATCTAAATCGCCGCATATCTATTAGGTACGTGAGCACGGTGAACAGGGTGCTCACGCAGCACAATATGGACCAAATCCCGACCCAGAGTCGGCCAAACTTCACCTCCTCCTCGCGGAAATACATCAGTCCATTGGGCTTGGTAGGTTCGCAAGGAGCCCCACAGTCTTTTACACCCAAAAAGTAGTAATTGAGATAAGTGGGAACTTCAAGCTGCAGAGGGCAAGTGAAGGGCTGATTCGACCGGGGCACATTGGGAAGCAGCGTGATCTGCTCGGGGACGTACGGCGTGGGGTACGAGGTGGGGCTGCCCGTGTCCGAGGTGTTCTGCCCGACGCAGATCTCTCCCGCTCCGTGCACGGGGAAATTCTCACAGCGGAGTCGCTCCGGCCACTGGAAGCCGAACTTGTTCATGAGCGCCTCGCAGCCCTGCCGTGCCCGCTCGCAGAGAGAGCGACACGGCGGGATAGCCTGCTCCAGCACCGTGCACACGGGCGCATACATGGAGCACAGGAAGAATTTCAGGTCCGTGGAGCACTGCACTTTCACCAGGGGGTAGAACTGGTGCACCTCCAATCCGGCGTCCTCCTGATTCGTGTGCCCCAAAAGATTCGGCATGATCGTTTGATTGTAGGCAATATCCGTGCAGAGGGGAATAGAAATGGGCTGACAGAAGCCGTGTTCTGGAACGGAGATACCCTTCTCTCCGTGATACTGACCGAAACACGGCTTAACCATTAAACATACAGTCACCAGAACACACCAGGCAATCCCAGTCCGATCTCCAATCTCTGACGCTGCCATAGTAAAGTGAAAAATGAAGACAGCAGGCGACTTTTAAAAAAAAAAAAAAAGTTAGGCCAATTGCTTTTACCTTGTTTGGGTGCCTTTACTATGCAGATGTTGCGATTATACTTTGTTTGAATAAAACTCTCCTCCGCTGCTTCTCACAGAGCCGAAATTCCGTTCAAAATATTTCGTCCAAACGTCCTTGACGCGATCCTCATTCAAAGCGCTTTACCTCTGGCTTACATGAGTGAAACAGCTGCATATACGGACACAAGCCTGGGTCGCTTTTTATGGAGCAGCGGTGCACAGTTCTTGTAGATTACGTGCGATGTTGTCTCCACTTTAAAAGCACTATCATTTGCCCAGCCTACGATGCGTATGCGAAAAATGATCTGAACACAATTAAAAGTTCTCACTAAGATTTTAGAGGAAATCGAATGATTCTACTCAGCAATTCGTGTCCTTTTGAAGATGGCAATTTTTAAGGTTTCAAAACATATTTTAGTAATCAAAGTTCAGTATATCAAACCTGTGTTTTATATGAAGCTTTCTTTAGTCCATTCCTGTGCTCAAAGCCGTATTTTTAATCCCTTTGAGTTTCTTCTCTTCGTAGAACCAGCTATTCCTCCTACTGTTCCCTACCACTTAATACGTGTTACGGTGGTACGGTGACAGCTTTTGTAAAGAATTTCTTGCTTAATACATAAAATCCTCGGAGTTGCAACAGACAGATTTTACAGTGTCCTCAGTTAGTACTACAATTGACTGTATTTCGCTTCTCTCAACAACGTTACAGCTCTGCCTGGAACATCGACTCGCTTCTTTAGAAAGTTTCGCTAAAGATACTGAACACGCACAATAATGTTAGGGCGGTTTCCAGGTACCCCTCATTCACAACCTAGAGTATCTCGCCACGGGGCGCCTAGAAACCACAATTTCCTGACCAATCATATGATTTGTTTTCCTTAGCGCCTTCTTCTTGATTGGATATTATGAGTTAAGAGTAAAGTAGGTGGGGTTATCGGAACTTTTCTTTAAATGTTACTTTTCATCCTTTGCAATTTTATTGTTTGATTTATAAGCGAAGGATGTGGTCATTTTCGGAATCGTTGTTTCCGATGCGTATGCGAAAAATGTTCTGAACACAATTATAAGAGCTCTTGCATATTTATAAGATTCCCGGATTTCAGTGACATGAATGTCACGGAACGAAATATTAATTACAAGAAAACGAATACACGCAGCCTACTTTGTTAAAATGACCGAAATTTAAGGATAAGTATACTGTAATTCTTGGCTGTCAAATCGCTAATCGAGTAAGATGTTTCTCTTATGTACAACTAAGGAATTCAAAACATAGCCTAGACGAAGGGTTGGTGAAGCTGTTTTATCCTTACGTTTCAGGAAACATGAATAACAAGTTATATTCACATTTACTGGCCGAACAGATTTTATTTTCACAGGTGGAAATTGAGTATTTCAACTCAATAAACCAAGAAGGGTATACAATATTTTTGGAAGGATATAACAAATAGCTTATGGTATAATTGTAATAATATGGAGACTATAACGAAGAGCTTCTTAAACATCTAGGCCTTAATGTTTAATACAATGTTATCGTGATGACAACCTTTTCTCGTACGGGAATTCATCTTACACACGTTACGTTATATGTTTGAATTGCAGAGTCGAGAACAACCATTAGCAGTACTGTTTATAGAGGCAATTGGAATAAACCAATAAGACAACAATGCTATGTAATCTTAGTACTGAGTAGGAATGTAAAACGATAACTGCATACGCATATAAGCAATAGATAGATAGAAAAGGCGGCGGTCCTATCTATTTGTTGAAAACGGAGTATCGGTGAAGTCCACATGCAATTGAACTAAACAGAAAAAAGTTTGAACGTAATCCAGATGAACCGCTTAAGAAGACGTAGCACTAGTTGGCTTATTCTCCAAATTTATGGCCGTCGGAATACTCCTTCTGCCACTGTATATAAGTACCTACAGTCAAAAATAGTAAGAGGTCCCTTAGAGAACTGCAATAATGGTGATATTTATTACAGTGTTTATGAATGGAAATGTGGAGTGTCCTTTGTAAATCTCTTTTGGCTTCTTGGAAGAGCGATTCTACAAAAAAAAAACGACGATTCACCTTCATGACCTGAACGAAGGGCAAACCATAATTCAGATAAAAGCCGGTAGTTCCCTCTTCGAAAAGTAGCACTAGTCGCTCAGTGACAACGTCGTGGTTTCCCGAAGATCTGTTAGTATGGTTAAGGTGAAATCCAGGGAAATCGCAGGCTTTAAATCAATATTCAGCACTGCATTCAGTTTAAGTCACCAGACATGCATATCAAGTGGACCCCGGACCTGAGGTGTAGTTTAGCGTTTCAACCTAGTCGACTCCTCGACAGCACGTATGTAGGTGACGCTGGCCTACTATTTGCCTCACTTGTACGTTGCTTTGGACAAAAGTCTCTGCTAAATAAAAATTAATGTAAATTAACATTTTCTCAGTATATCCAGTGAAATTTCCTATGGTTATTGACGATTACTGAATTGCAGTGGAAAAAGTACACTTGCGTTTATTTACGATCAAAGCTGATTTTAAAGTGACCAGAAAATAACCCAAGTATTTTGATTGAATTTAAATAGAGGTACTTTAATAACTGTCTTGGAGTCCTCATAAGACCACGTGAACGTTAGACTAACGGCTTTGTTCTATCGCCATGCATGCACCGAATAGCGTGAAAACAAATTCTGATGTCAGTCTTCTGTCTCTTCCTGAAGATTTCAGAAGGTTCATAGCCTGGAGGCGATGAAAAGTCATACCTGACGTTTCTCTGATTCTGGCCGCCACACGCACACAACTCAGGAAAAATTACTACAGGCCATGACAACGTCGTTTAAATTTAAACCAAAGTTAACAGTTGTAATAAGTAATTACTACTAATCTTAGTCTTGTTTTACGTACTTTTAAGTATTTATTTCCGATTTTTAATTTTTTTTGCATTGCTTTGGGTAAGATCCAGATGTGGTAAATTAATATTTACATAAATATTCAGCGTCGTCCTGTTCTTTGATCATGCCGGCTTTGTATTTTAAGACGCTGCTTCTATTCTATAGGAACCATGCTTGTGTCCGATTACTGCTCTTTCTGTTGAAGACCTGGCCGTAAATGCTGGACTTCTAACCAACCGCAGTCATTCACAATGAAGTCACCAGTACGTAGGTATATAGGCTGCGTCTACAATCCCGCAGAACTACACATGCATGGGCGGACATCGCTGTCCTGCTTACGCCACGTGAAGGGCGATTTTCTGTGGAGTGTTATTTACTGTACAGACTGACGTGTTCAGAAACACGCGTATAATTCCTCTCTCGATTCTGGAGTGCGCTTTTTAAAAACGAATCAGAGTTGAGCCGTAACTCGTCACATGTTCCCTTCCTATGCAAATAGCAATAGGTAGCAGAAGATGGGCTCCGCTGCGGACTAGCCACAGATCAGTCACGGCGAGACCGCAATGTTCCGCCTGGCGTACTCATTCCGATGCTCTCTACATCTCGGACCGACTCCCACAGGTTTTCTTGCATACCCGCTTAAAAATTCTCCTCTCTCTTTCTGAAGACGGCTTGAAGTCTAATTCACGGCCAATACATTTTACATGTGTTCCGTTCATTAAAAACAGATTAGAAATAACTTTGCATCATCTGAAATGTCCCCTCTTCCCTTGTCTGCTAACAGTGCTTGCGCACCCTTCTCGGTGCAATCACACTTGTGCTCTTCCTTCTGGCATGAACGTTAAACACGACCATCACACGTGGTAAGGCAAATCCTATAGGCCTACATCTGCAGAAAACACCGTCTCCCTGCGTTCATTGCCGCAGATGAATGGTCTTTAAATTGTGCATCTTCCTCCCATTTCCCCTAATTCGATCGTTTTCTGTAATTTTCAGATCTGACATCTGGGCAGAGATTAACGCAGAATGTGTTTTCCAAGATGATTGTGGGTGGTTCAACGGGAGATATGACATATAAATGAAGCAGCAATCGTTACAATAACAAGCAAAGCGAGGCAGGCATGGCGAACCCTGTAGTTTACGTCTGCGCAGAGGAAAGTTTTTGTTTTAGTCAGCGCTTAATTTGAACTCATTAATTATCCCAGATAACTTTGCCAAAGCCGGTCAAAAGTTTGCAAACAACAAAGCTTTTTAAAACTTCCAGAAGTCTACTAAAAGTACTAAAAATAAAACACTTGGAGGGAAAAAAATGGGTTAATCCACAACCTGCAGGTCGCGTTTGTTGTTTTTTTTAATCCCCTGTCTCGTTTTAAGAAACGAGTTTATTCGTCCTTATCAATATTCAGGCCGGTAACCAATTAAGATGGAATTGAATATATCTGATTAATGTCTAGCCGTAATTTTACACTGAGAGTAGCGATAACGAGTTAATTAATAATGAGAAGTAATTGAAATAAAACTAACAATGAGGTCTTAATTAAATAGCGCAAACAATTGTGCATTTTAAACCTGATTAACCACAATTTCCACACTTTCATTTACAGGTAGGAATTTGCATGAATGAGGATCCTAATGGATCCCTCACATTATCCTAAAAATGTCTCCCCCCAGATCTCATTAAGAATGGAAGCTGAGCTGCGCTGAGACATTAAACGGATGAATATTAGAGGAGAGAGATGTGTAAGGGCGGAGTATGAGACTTAATTATTTAAAGAAAGACAACTACTTTCTTGTTTTTTACCGCGAGTCTTTTTACCCCTGAGGTCAGCGCAGGAAAAGCATTTGTAGACGTCTGTCATCTTCATCCTCCTTGTTTTTCATTACGGAAGACTCATTAACCAGGAGGTGAAATTCTATATTTTGTCAGCCGATTGACCTCTACTGTCAAATCATTTGTCAGAGTCGAAAGGTTTTCCAACTTATAGGAATGAAAGTTGTCGATATTCATTGTTTCGACCAGCTAAAAGTCAGTTTACTCGATTAGTGTGATTTGCGTGATGAAACCGTTTTATTACTGGATCATTTAATTTAGTTTCATTTGTATGTCGATGGCAGCACAAAGCGTCGTAACCGCGACGTGACGCTGCTTTTCCTCAGCGATTCCTGACAGTGCGGTGCCATCAAACCCACCTTTTAATGAGCGGTACCTTTCCCGTTATTGCATGGCAGTTACGAAAAAATATATTACAGATGTCTGAAGTCTGCATGTCCTGCATCGTCTACGGCGGTCTCAGTCCCGCAGAGAGGTGCATTGTGGGCAGTTTAATCAGACTGACTTTGAAAAACTGCTCTTCAACGCCCAGAACCAAAACACTCATCGGATTGAACGGTTTAGTAATGGGGAGTGCATGCTGTGTGGGTTAGTGTTTTACGACAGAGAGGGTCGATGACTATTTAGTTATTGCCTCAGACGTGAGGCGGGTCATTGCAAACACATTCTGATTTCCTCTGGGTCTGTGCAGGAATGAGAGGAGCTCACTGCCATCTTTGATTTTTTTTTTTTTTATCTTGGACACGTCTTCTCAGTATCCCGAAACCATGACTCTGTTAAGGCAAGAGGTTTTAAAAAAAGATTTTTTAAAGAAATATTTTGACTTTTGCTTTGCTTTTTAGACGGACGGGATCTATAATTTGTTTGAGCCGGGGTTGTAAGTGTATATGAGTAATTTGTAAAGGAAATGTTTCGGTAATTCATGAATAACGGCTGTGGTGCAGTGGGCATGGACACAGGATATGGAAGGTGAGAGCTGGAATCACGGACCGAGGAGTGTTGGATGGACTCTGAAGCCAGGACTTAGTTGGGGCTCAGTAACATCCCCCCCCCCCCTTTATTTTTTGGGAACCCAGAACCTTCCGATAAACAGCATATGTTC